CGAGGGGAGCGCGGCCGGGGCGGAGGGGGAGCTGGAGGGGCAGCGCGGTCTGTGCCCCTGGAGCGGGCACACGCGCGGATCAGCAGGGTCCGCCAGGGATCTGTTACACCGCGGCCCTTCCCCGGGAGAGCCGGGTCACTGGGCAGCCGAGGGAGCCGGGGAGAGGCCCGGGGCCCGCCGCGGTGTAGCAGATCCCTGGCTGTGGGTGCCCTAGACGCACAGCGGAGCTGCTGCCGTCTGGGGAGAGGAACAGGAGCAAAGTTTCATTTGCCAGTCTTCTGTTTTTAAGTGCAATTTTCCTTCTGCCGTGAATGGGGCAGGGTACTGAATGTTCTCACAGCCTCTGTAATGGCAATGAACTGTCTTCTGGACACTGGCTGTACAGCTGCAAATAAAAGGGCCCTTTAAAAATGCCGGCCTTTTGAAGAACCACGATCCTACTCTTATGTTCACTGTTAGAAATGTTGCTATCGTTTTTAATATATCTCTGATCGCGATGAGAAACGCTTCTGTTAAATGTAAAACAGGGCGTTGTGTTTTTAACAATATCAAAGGATACTAGGGGTCACTGTGACTTACTGGCCTCTTTCATTGAAAATGGCTTTTCTTTAAATTCAGACACATAAAGAAACTACTGTAAATTTGGATAAGTTACCATTTAGGCCCACATTGTGCGAATGTGGGCGATTAAGCACACTTTCCTTAATCTCTTACTCAGTAAAACTTGGTATTAAAACCAGGGGACGTCAAAGCATTATTAGGGCCAGGCTTCTGTTTTATTTTATGAAGGTTCACTTGTAAATATTTGACATTCTACAAAACTTACTTTTAACTAGAGAGGAAGTTGGTGTGATGGGGTAATAAAAGGAGGAGCAAAAAGTTAGTGAGATCTACAATAAACTTAAATTAACACACAAATTCATAATTTCTTGCTTATACCATGGGATTTCCCACAGAAATTAGAGTATTTGCTTTAGTTAGTACATCAGTTTAACTTCTTAAAGGTAAAATGTTATAAAGTTTTTTACATTTGGGCTCTTTGGACAAACAGTGCAGAGAAATAACAACTGAAAAAGATGGAGTAACATAAGGAATTCTGTTCAATTTAGATACCTTTAAAAATTTGTTAGTACATGGTTTCTGCAAGTTTATTCATTTGACTTAGATCTGGAATTGCACAAAATAGGTTGGGATAATGGAGACAGGGCCTTAAATTAAAAAGATTTCTTTCCTACTGGTTGAGCATTCTGAATGTAGGGACAAGGGCAGGATACCTGCTGTGGGTTAGGTATGAATGTGGAATTGAGGGAGGAAGACAACAGCGATCATAGGGTTCAGTAATCTCCAGCTCTGTACGGTACTTGTGAGTGATCTGCCTTTTGAATTAGTAACCCTAGTGGGGTGCTGGTTCTATCTGATTATGTAGGTGTGTAGTATATTGTAATTGGAGAACAGTGAAAGCAGTTCCTGTAATGGAGTGGTGTGGTTTGAGTAATTAATAGACCTGGTAGTGCAACCTCAGCCATAGAATTTCTGAAAAATTGTTGATGCAAAAAACAAGACCTGGAGACAAATGGAAAATGCTGTATGTATTTAGCAAAGGTATGACAAGTTGAACTAGTTCAATGTCATCTTTTTCAATAATTGATTTTTACGGACATAAGAAATTAAGGCGACTTAACACAGAACTTTAGTAAAGCTCCAGGTGCCACAAAGAAATATATTAAAATTAAGATAAATGTGGATTAACCAGACTATTATAAAGTGGTTGAAGGAAGGAGATCAGATAAGGTAGTGGTGAAAAGGCATGGAGCTGTAAGGTGATATTAGTGGAGTTTGTGATGAATTGTTTTTCAGTGGCACCAGGTGTTCAGTGTGGTACTGAAACTTGCCAGGGAGGCAATGTTAGTGAGGCCCACACACGTGGCAAGTTTAGTCATGGAAGAAGGACTGGAGAG